CCCATGTACAGGTTTTATGGTGTCTTGGAAAGTTATAGGGTTAAATATAGTGCTAGCAAATTAAATTCCCTTTACTTTCGGCATGGGTTGTCAGGCAGGTCCCGCTAATTGTAATTAATTAAGATACCTAATTATGTAAAAAATTACATAAATATATATGTAGAATTAATATATGTATATATATACGTATGTGTATATATATGTATATATCTATATAATTTTTAAAAAATATTTTTATTTATATATAGGTATATATATAGTGATATATACGTATATATTTATGTATATAGATATATATATTATTTCGTTCTACGTGTATTTTGATATATATATATATATATATATATCACAAAACAGTTAGAACGAAATAACACACATCTATATATTTTTTAATTATTTATTTTTAATTATTTTTTAATTTTATTTTTTAACGTATTTACATTTACATTTTTTTATATTATATATAAATATATATATAACAATAATTATATATATATATATTTAATCAGTATCAGTCTACGTGTAATTTGATATTAATATATATATATAATTATATATATATTAATAGTAAAATACACCTAGACGGTGTACATGTGTGTATGTATATGTGTATATATATATATACTTTGATCATATATATATAATATATATATATGATCTAAGTATATATAATTTTTTTTTTTTACACCATTAACTTATTTTATTTTTATTTTCAGCCAGCAGGGGGACCACCTGTCATTACAGGCAGCCCCCCTGCCGGCAATACAGAAGCCAGCTATCCCCAGCCATGTGATTGTGGGGTCCTCGCTAGGACCCCACTCTCACATGGCCGGGGGGCTTCGACGAGGACGGACGTGCTGTGGGGGGCTCCCTGGGAGTCCCCCCAACCGCGATCGCCGGCGTGGGACCGCCGGCGACCGGGTAAGTTAACAAAAACCGGAGGGCGTACAATTACGCCCGGCGGCGTTTAGAGCCGCCTATTAGAGGGCGTAATTGTACGTCCTCCGGTTTTAAGGGGTTAATCGCTATATTAAAAGTAAAGTTTTATTTTTAGAAATACCTAACCTAATTGGTTGATATTTGTCACTCCACCAGCGATACTGTTATTATTTCTCACTCTCTCCTGGCGGTTCTCTTTTTTTTTTCTTCTAATTTATTCCATAATGACCAGTCTCACAAGGGGCTTCAGGAGGACCTTCTTTTACCCTATGGGGAAAATGTCTGACGCTGGAGGTCCTCATGCAGAGTGTGAAGATGTCCAATGTCAGATACCAGACTAAAGGTCCGTTTCAAACCAGAAAGCCCTGTAGTGGCTGTCTGGTAAATTTTGGTTCTGGGAATTTTCTGGTCCTGGCTAATGCGCGCACAAATTAGACCTCCCCATAGGAAAGCATTAAATCAGTGCTTTCCTATGGGGAAAAATCTGATGCTGGAGGTCCTCATGTGAGGACGTACAGCATCAGATACTGGACCAAAAGTCTGTTTCAAACCAGGAAGCCCACTAGTGGCTGTCTGGTAGACAGCCACTAGAGGCTGACTGAGTGCTGCATTGTAAACATTTTTTAATACTATGGGGAAAATGTCTGACGCTGGAGATCCTCATGCAGAGTGTGAGGACATCCAGTGTCAGATACCGAACTAAAGGTCAGTTTTATACCAGGAAGCCCTGTAGTGGCTTTCTGGTAAATTTTGGTCCTGGCAAATTATGAGTTAAATTTTCAGTTTTTCATATTCATGTTAAATTAAGGGGCACAATATCCACCCAGACCAGTTAATATCAATAAAATGGTCTTATGTGCAGTACACCTGGCATTTTGCATTCTCAATATAAAATATTTTTTGAGTTACGGCAATGTTTACATGCTAAACACACCTCCAGTATTTACCTTGACAGCCACTAGATGCTTTTGCATTCAGAGCTGAGTTTGACCATTTGTTTTTAACAACAAATACTTCTCATAGAGAAGCATTAAAGTAAATACTTTTGTATTAGAAGCATTTGATTGGTGCACTGCAACGATTGCTGTGGATGTCTGTTAAAGGACCACTCTAGGCACCCAGACCACTTCAGCTTAATGAAGTGGTCTGGGTGCCAGGTCCCTCTAGGATTAACCCTTTTTTTAAATAAACATAGGAGTTTCAGAGAAACTGCTATGTTTATAAAAGGGTTAATCCAGCCTCCAACTCCTCTAGTGGCTGTCTCATTGACAGCCGATAGAGGCGCTTGCGTGCTTCTCACTGTGAAAATCACAGTGAGAAGACGCCAGCGTCCATAGGAAAGCATTATAAATGCTTTCCTATGAGACCGGCTGAATGCGCGCGCAGCTCCTGCTGTGCATGCGCATTCAGCCGAAGAGGAGGAGAGGAGGCGGAGAGGAGGAGGAGAGCTCCCCTCCCAGCACTGGAAAACGGTAAGATTTAACCCCTTTCCTCTCCCCAGAGCCCGGCGGGAGGGGGGCACTATAGTGCCAGGAAAACGAGTATGTTTTCCTGGCACTATAGTGGTTCTTTAAGTCCTCAAAGTTTCTTATGGATAAGTCTAATGACATCAGACCAGGCTGCAGAAAAAAGGCTGTCTTAATTTTGTTTTAACTAAAAAGGTTAGGGGACATATAATCTAACAGAACTCTCTAACAACTTGTATAGTGTCCCAAAAAATGTTATGGGACACTATACAGTGAGGGAAGCAAGTATTTGATCTACTGCTGATTTTAAATGATCGCCCACTGACAGAGAAATGACCAGTCTATAATTTTAATGCGGGGTGTATTTTAACAATGAAAGACAGAATAACAAAAAAAAAATCCAGAAAAACGCATGTCAAAAAAGTTATAAATAAATTTGCATGTCAATGAGTGTAATAAGTATTTGACCCTTTTGACTTAGTACTTGGTGGCAAAAAGCCTTGTTGGCAATCACAGAGGTCAGGCATTTCTTATTGTTGGCCACCAAGTTTGCACACATCTTAGGAGGGATTTTGTCCCACTCCTCTTTGCAGGTCCTCTCCAAGTCATTAAGGTTTCTGGGCTGATGTTTGGCAACTCGAACCTTCAGCTCCCTCCACAGATTTTTTATGGGATTAAGGTCTGGAGACTGGCTGAGGGAAGAAGGTTCTCACCCTAATTTGATAGTACATGGCCCCCTTCCATCATCCATTTGATGCGGTGCAGTTGTCCTGTCCCCTTAGCAGAAAAACACCCCCAAAGTATAATGTTTCCATCTCCATGTTTGAGGGTGGAGATGGTGATCTTAGGGTCATAGGCAGCATTCCTCCTCCTCCAAACACGGCGAGTTGAGTTGATGCCAAAGAGCTCGATTTTGGTCTCATCTGTCCACAGCATTTTCACCCAGTTCTCCTCTGAATCATTCAGATTTTCATTGGAAAACTTCAGACAGGCCTGTACATGGGCTTTCTTGAGCAGGGGGACCTTGTAGGCGCTGCAGTATTTCAGTCATTCACGACGTAGTGTGTTACCAATTGTTTTCATGGTAACTATGGTCCCAGCTGCCTTGAGATCATTAACAAGATCTTCACGTGTAGTTCTGAGCTGATTCCTCACCATTCTCATTATCATTGAAACTCCACAAGGTGAGATCTTGCATGGAGGACCAGGCCGATGGGGGACTGACAGTTATTTTGTGTTTCTTCCATTTGCGAAAAATCGCACTAACTGTTGTCACCTTTGCACGAAGCTGATTGGCAATGGTCTTGTAGCCCATTCCAGCCTTGTGTAGGTCTACAATCTTGTCCCTGACATCCTTGGTCAGCTCTTTGGTCTTGGCCATGGCAGAGAGTTTGGAATCTGATTGATTGCTTCTGTGGACAGGTGTCTTTTATACAGGTAACGAGCTGAGATTAGGAGCACTCCCTTTAACAGAGTGCTCCTAATCTCAGCTCATTACCTGTAAAAGACACCAGGAGCCATAAATCTTGCTGATTGATAGGGGATCAAATACTTATTTTACTCATTGACATGCATATCAATTTATAACTTCTTTTGATATGTGCTTTTCTATATTTTTCCTTTTTATTCTGTCTCTCACTGTTAAAATACTCCTACCATTCAAATTATAGACTGGTCATTTCTTTGACAAACTTTCACAATCAGCAGGAGATCAAATACTTTTTTCTCTCACTGTAAAGTGTTCCTTTAATGGTGAATTCCATATGCCTTGTGTATCTGCTTGTTCAATGATCCCACATTCAAACTCTGCCTTATGTCCCAAGTACTTCTGTACTAAACATCTACACCTAGGTTTTTGGGGACCTTGTAGAGTCAATTAAAAGTATGCCCATATTGTGACATATATTTTTGATTTGCTCCTAGAGACACTATTTTGTGAAATCTGAAGTCTCCATACTGACCAGCGTCAAACCTTAACACTAGTTCTAACCCTAGTCAAAGCTCATCCTTACCTCATCTAACTGTAATACTATACAACTATAAACCAGTATAGCCAAACCGTATGTAACCCAAATCCTGTGTATCCTAACTTCATCCTACCCTATCTAACCTTATCACTACAGACTACACAGGACAGGTAAAAGTGTATTGCAATCTTTTTTTTCAAGGACTCTTCAGTAAGTACCTATAAATTATAGAAATAAAACATTCAAAGATGCCTTTTCTCTCATGATGGCAAATGATAAAGCTATTATTTTATGGTAAGCACATTTTACGAGGGGCCATTATATATGTACCAAAAAAACTGAATGGTGAACAGTGACATTGATTAATCTCTATATTCTTTCAATCTAAAGATGATATTAAATGTAAGAATATTTACTTTTGTATATCTATAAAAACCTCTGATTCCTTTATTGTATTTCATAGATTTGCAGTATCAGCTCTAAAATGCTCATGCAACTTCAAAGTTTCACTTAAGCATTACTTTTTAGGGGGGCGTGGCTTGGACGTCGACCAGGATGGGCGCTTAAGCAGCGAGCTCTGCTCCACCGGTCCCTATAAAGCCCTATTAATCAGCCTTTATCAGCTCTAATGGGACGGAACCGAAGAGGTGATCCCCCCAAAACCCCCAGGGGATCTCAACTGAGCCAATCGTTCTTACAGACGCCAGCAGAAACACGCGATGAGGCCGGGGGCTCCAAGATGGCGCATGTCTCCTCCTCACCCGGAGATCCCCCTGCCTCTACCCTGGAGGGCATCGGGGAAGAAATCTGCACAATAGCAGCCTCTTTGGCCATGAAAGCAGACCTCCTGGTCCTTACCACTACGATCCAGGATGCATTGCGGGCTGAAATGGGCGGAATCCGGACGGAGGTCACGGCGCAGGTGAGCTGCATTCAGGAGCTGGAACACTCCCATGATGCCCAAACAGCAAGACTGGCAGCAACAGATACAGCCCTTGCGAGAGAAGGTGACCTGCTCCACCAGCTAAAGAGGTCGGTCGAAGATCTAGACAATCGCGGTCGCAGGTGCAATATACGGGTACGTGGAATGCCGGAAACAGAGGGCGAAGAGGACAGAGAAGAAACCCTGACGGCCCTTTTCTGCCTGATCATGCACAGGGATGCACCGCTAGCCATCCGATGTGACAGAGCACACAGGGCACTGCGACCCTGATCGCTCGAGGAAGGCCCGAGGGATATAATATGCTGCATCCACTCGTTTTCAACAAAAGATGCCATCATGAAAGCGGCTAGAGCCCAACCCTCATGGGACTACTGTGGGGCACAAGTCTCACTATTTAACGACCTATCCCCGGTTACCCCGGAGGCCAGAAGAGCACTGCGGCCTGTCACAGCAATACTCAGGGACCACAACACCCCCTACAAATGGGGCTTCCCATTCGCCCTACTGGTGAGACATCGGAACGGATGGGCTTTGATCGGCTGGCCGGAGGAGGTACCCAGATTCCTGGAAGAACTGGGACTACCACCCGTGCAAGTACCAGACTGGATCCTCGGGTCGTTGGGGGCTGGCCCGATACCTCAGCGAGCACCCCGACGGCGTGGAGGAAGATCACCTCTGGGACCGGCACATCACCACCGCAATGCATAGGGAGTCCAGGAATAGAGGCTACCACTCCAACACAGCTAACCCGCCAAACAGGTACTGTCCTAACTACCCCTTGAAGGCATTCTGGGATTGGATCTGGGCCACACTGTTATTAGGCTACATATCTCTAAAAAGACGTTATCACCACTCCCGAACCTCACCACGACCTTGATAGAGAAAAGAGTACATAGAATTTGGGAGGGAGACAGGGGGGCCCGCGGCTTACTCTTTCCTCTCCCTGAGATACACACACCAACAGAGCAACTCTGCCACACATGGGATACTCGTGAGGAGAGACCGGGCCGGGACATCCTCATCTGGAGCATCTGGCAACAACCATACCCTCCTCTTTATCTATGGGTGCGAGGCCTCCCCCCATATATACTGCAGGGAGAACCCCGATGTGATCTTAGGGAAGGGGGAACGGGGAGGAGGGGTGGGAATCTCTCCCCCCAACGAGTGTGTGAACACAGGTGACTCCTTATATTGGCACTCACAGAGAAAAGCCGGGATGAAACACCTCACTTAGCACTGCGAGACTCAAGATATTTACAGCAATGAGAGGACTGGGTAAGAGGGCCCTTTCATCTTGATAAGTATTAATCACAATAGTTCTGCATAAGAATAGATCATTACGTGGGAACACCTGCTGTGCTGTAAATATAAGAGGAATACACAAAAGGGCACCTTGGGAACGACGGCAGAGAACAGAAAGCTAGAGGGGGGATGAGGGGGGACGGGGGTTGGAAAGAGGGGAGAGGGAGACAAAGGGGGGAGAAAAAAAACTCCCATAACCCGAGACACAAGGGGCATAGGAAACGGGAGGGGATAATAGAATGGAAACAAGGGGATTTAGCCAGAATCCAGAGGACCCATCCACGGTGCACTGAATATAATACACTCGTACCCATGCCCCAAACTAGAAAAGTGAAGGGGGGAAGGGAAATGGCTCCAGATCTTAGATGATGTGACCAGACCGATCACCCACAATGTCACAAGTTATTAAGTTACCCTGGAACGCTTAGAGAGGAGGGGAGTGGATGCAAATGGTGAAAAGAACCTAGCCCAGGGGGAGGGGGTAAGGGGGACACGAAGGTGGGAGGCGCCTGGGAGGTTGGCGGGGATTACATAACTGCTGGCTATTATCAAAGTTATTAATGTTCATGTTCAAGGCTTAATGTTTGGTATAACACCGTCAAAACTCGTGTAAGATTTCACCTCCCACCATCGAACACACTAGGGCAGGGACCTGGTCGGAGTGGGAAAGACCGGAACTCACCTCACATACAACAAGTTCACTATACTATTCCTGGTTTAGATCCCGACCACAGCTCTATATACACACTTGCGCGAGACTCTCAGCGGAGCCACAGGCACGTTCGCGCACCGATCTGGTTATAGGTGCGACACCTGGCCACTCCTGCTGTAATGCAAGTGCCCCTCCTCTTCAGAGGAGACTTCGGGGTGGTAAACACCTTTTGCCCCTCTGGGAAACCACCCACAGGGGGAGGTTCTTTTCACCCCCTCCTTATTTTAACTATCTCATATTCAACCTCTACTCACATACACACGCACACACACAATCCCCCACGCACCACTTCCCATCACTACCTTACACACTTAGGCACGGATATTCATACAGGATACAATTAACAAGGAACGACACACTCACAGAGACCCAAACGTAAACGGTGACGGACATGGAACTCAGTCACCCAACCCTACATAGGCCTATATAGGGCATACGAGTGACTACACTTCACAGCCGCAAAACCATCCCCACTGGGCTGCACCGTCGGCCCGGCTTCTTGCCTCTCACGGGCGCGCCCCTTACACGCAAGCACACTTGATCACGAGAGGGACCATGACGTACCAACACACTCCCATGGCCATCATGACACTCAATTGCAGAGGCCTGAATATACTAGAACGTCGCACCCACCTACTGAGGGTACTACGAAAGAAACACATATCAATAGCAATGCTGCAGGAGACTCATTTTAGGGAAGGCGCTGCTCCCAAACTCCGAAGCACTTACTACCCTATCAGCTAGTGCAACACGCCGGGCAGGAGTTGCTATATTGCTGGCTGCTGACTTAGGATTCCAGGAATTGGACAAAATGACTGATAAACAAGGACGATTCCTCTTCTTAAAAGGGGTGATAGCCGACAGAGTATACACATTTGCAACCATACACGAACCCAATTCGAAACAAGCACAATTTCTCAGGGGGACACTAAACAAGCTACACGGATTCTCGGAGGGGGCCCCACTAGACACACTGATGGACTCATCAACTGGCCATAGTTGCCTCTCACAACCCCACATCAGATCCATCCACAAATCACTGGGGGAGATGGCACTGGTCGACTACTGGAGGACAATTCATCCCACCAGCAAGGACTACACACACTATTCAGCACTACACAATCGCTATTCCCGAATAGACTACTTGTTGATTTGACAGGAAGGACTCTCTCGCCTACGCTCCGCCTCCATAGAACCTGTCACATGGTTGGACCATGGCTCGGTCCAGGTGGAACTAAAATCCCCCTTGTTTAAACCAGCAACTTGGACATGGCGCCTGAACAAATCCCTACTCCAGGATCTCGGGGTGAGAGGAGAAATCTCCCAAGCACTGAAAACATACTTTAAAGAAAACGGGACGGAAGATATATCCCCGGTATCAGTGTGGGAAGCTCACAAGAGTGTTATACGAAAAGGAAGGAAGCAACACGCGAGATGACAGATATATACAGCACCATATCACGCCTAGAACTCCAACACAAACGTTCCCATCTCGTCGAAATATATGGGGAATTAATGGAGGCCAGGCGACGACTGAAGACCCTCCTCACGCAGAGGTACCTCTGCTCGCTCCAGAGATCTAACAACTTTTTCTATACCCATGCGAACAAGGGAGGGAAGTTCCTCGCTCGGCTTTTAAAAGGCGATATGCCACGCACACAAGTACGAAAACTCTGACTGTCATCGGGCAGAATATCCCCATACCCAGAAGACATAGCTGGAGAATTCCGAGACTACTAAAACTCCTTCTACAACCTTCGCCCACCGGAGAACCCGACTCAAAGATTGGACTCATCACTGCACATACGGACCTACCTACAAGACAACGTGCGAACGCGAGTGAATCCAGAGGCAGCGTCTATGCTCGACGAACCAATTGGCATGGAAGACCTAGCCGCAGCATTAAAAAGCATGAAAACGGGAAGAGCACCGGGACCGGACGGGTTCTCTTCGGGATACTACAAACACTTTGCAACAATATTGTTACCGTGGCTGACAAAGGCGATCAACAAAGTGGCAGAGGGAGGACACTTTGGAGTGGAATCCCTGACAGCAACTATAACTGTCCTACTTAAACCCGGGAAGGACCAGGAACAATGCAGCAGCTATCGCCCGATCTCCCTCCTTACAAAAATATTGGCGACCAGACTTCAACAGATACCTGAGCCTTGTTCACATAGACCAGACTGGGTTCATTCCCGGGCCGAGAAGCAAGGGATAGTACACTACGCCTGTTCTCTATACAACATCATGCACGGAAATACCAGAAACGCCTCCTGCTATTGTCCACAGATGCGGAGAAGGCGTTTGACCGGGTTAACTGGACATACATGACCCGAACGCGCCGAGATATGGGCATAGGACAGAGAACCCTGGCATGGATATCCGCCTTGTATAGCACACCAAGGGCGGCAGTACGCGTTAATGGAGCACTGACTACAAGCTTTGGGATCGCAAATGGCACCAGACAGGGCTGCCCCCTGTTGCCGCTCTTGTTCGCCCTGTCCCTGGAGCCCCTTCTACAGATAACAAATTCGATCCATGGAATTTCACAAATAATCCGGTGAGCTGTATGAGAAGTTAAAACAAAAATACACAAATACACGCCACGGTTACATGTGGCAGGGAGCAGAACATAAGGTGGCCGCATACGCGGACGACCTCCTGTTCTTTGTCTCCCAACCATGGATCACACTACCTTGCCTACTGTCGGAAATAGATAAATTCGGCCGGATATCAGAATTCAATTTTAACCTGGCGAAATGCGAGACGTTGAACATCACCATACCTACGGTAGAATATGAAACCCTCGGCCCGCTCTTCCCATTCCACTGGTGTACAGGGGTGATGAAGTATCTCGGCATCTGGATTCCCACAAACCCACAAAAGATATATATGGGCACAATTTCGTCCCACTCCTGCAGAAAATCGAACTAGATCTGAATAGATGGGCATACCCACACATTACATGGCATGGCCGCATAGCGGTACTTAAAATAAATATTCTCCCAAGGATGCTTTACCTATTTCAGACCATACCGGTAGCACTACCGGCGATATTTTTCACGACTCTGAAGTCGGCGGTTATTAAACATGTATGGAGGGGAGAAAGATCCAGACTGCGCCACGATTTACTATGCATGCCCAGACACACTGCCAGAATATAAAAATTATCACCAAGCTACAACGCTACAGCGAATCTTGGAGTGGCACGAATCGGAAACGACCAAACAATGGGTGATTTTGGATCGGGACGGAGACGCAACGAAATTAAAGGCAATGGAATGGAGAAGACGAGCGACCCGGGGTAATGGGAGACGGGACGAGGATGACGTGGCACAAACACTACTCACCTGGAAAACCCTCAGGGAGACACCACAAGTTTCCCCGACCCCCTGCCCTTTACTCCCGATAACACACAACCCCAACATAGGGGGCGGATTACCTGCGGATGCCTGGACATTCCTAGGCGATGCAGACTACATCCCAATATGCAAAGTCATCCGGGAAGGCAACATGAGGACACTAGATACGCTGTTAGAAGATTGACCACGGTCTCCGATGGCGGTCTTCCGAGATCTAACATGGTTGGAAAACCTTTGCTCATGAGGAACCTCGCTTGGAAAACCTGCCTCGATCCTCTACCAACACCTACTGACCAGTCCCACCTCAGAAAACAACACCTTCCAGCGGCACTGGGAGAGAGCCATGAACAAAACATTCACACCGACACAATGGGACAAAGACTTGATATGGCAACACAAAAGCTCCTCTCGTTCACACTATTAAGAGGTCAACTATAAGCTGATCTCCATGTGGTATAGAACACCGGTATTGCTACACAAGATCTTTCCCACAACACCACCAACATGCTGGACATGTCAGGAAGATAGAGGGACACTCCTGCACGTCTGGAATGCAACCATATCACCCCATACTGGAATCAGATCAAATCAGATGTTTAATTGATCCTCGGAGATGACATTGAATGGTCAGAAGAACTAGCCTTACTACACATTTCCTCACAACCATTGTCCAAGTACAAAAAAATTTATTCTGCGACACTTGTTAAACTCAGCTAAATCACTCGTACCGGTGTACTGGATGAAAACGGACATCCCCACATGGGAGGGATGGATCCACAGAGTCGAGGACATTAGGGCAGCTGAATCACTTCAGGCGGAAATGGCGGGGAGAGGAGCAGAGACCTGGGCACCGTGGTTTACCTTCCGTGCGAGAACACAGGGGGGTGTCGGTGGGTGGTTGGGGCCAGGGGACGGGGTAGCCCGCACAGCATACCCATACCCTACACTACGACCCATAACCACCTTCTTGTGCTAGTGGATACACGCGCCACACCTAACACACTGACCACAATACAATATTTCAGACAGGGGAACAGCACAGACAGAATAGACAATGGGACACATGCAAAAGGATCACGCACAAACAATTAGCTGGAACAAGATCAAACGCTACCGCTCAACGGACCCTACGACATAGGAGACGGGATATGGGACCATCGCAAACCACAGATAGGGGATTTGGACCTCAATAAAAACGCAGACATGGGGGGACACAACGAGACCTGTTTAACAATCCCAACAATGTTACAGCCAGATGAATACTCGGTGAACACTGACCTAACCAATTCACCATAACAACTCTGACACTACAACGCAGGACAGTAACAGCTACCTTGGACTTTTAAGGAAGCCCAAAACACAATACCGAAGGGATGACACTGGGTCAACTAATAATTACCCATGACAACTCAGTATTCCTGACCCACACACAGCAAGATATTATGCCCATCAAGGGGAAACTCTGAACACCCACACTTCATGTTCCCACCACTACATACATCCTGATAAGTATCTCCCCTTGTCCATCATCCCCGAAACACAACACCCTGGCATCATAGAGATCAGTCAGGGAAATAGACCGGAGGCTAGATGGACCATTTGAGACACAGGGGACATCACCTAAGGAAGAAAGGGAGATATCTCTCCACAGTAACGCTATCAATTGGATACACACGGGATCAACACAAAACACCATTACAATTTATGTAAAATACCACTGATACAATTGCAAAATGATATCCGATGTAAAATGAACCTGACTATAATCCCTATTTGGATATATACTGTACTTACATTATGTATCTATACTATGTTATTGATACGGGCCTGCGAAAAAAACATTACTTTTTACGTGCAGCAACATATTAAAAAAATCTTATTAATAAGTAAGCTTTTTTTTTTTTTTTTTATCACACCCCATCATATTACACAGTGATGTACATAAGGTAAAGGGGACAAAGCATCTAAATGATGAAAGGACAAACACAGGAGAAGGAAACAAGTTAAGGAAACAAGTTAATAAGCGTAAAATTTAGATTCACCTTGCACATTTTATCTAATCAAATTCTCTTTTCCTGATAGTTCTATCTTTATGACAAACAGATAGACAGGAACATAGACAGGCAGAACAGACAGAGAAACAGACAGAAAGAAAAAGAGAGTGACAAACAGACAAATAGGTTAACAAAATAGCAAACATCAAAACAGTGAAAAACAGTTTAATGTTGAAGCAATCAAATTTAAAAAGCACTTGCAAACCAGAGTTGTATCGGGCCGATTGCTAAATAGAAATATATGTCATTTTTAAAGGAATTTTGGCTGTTAGTATTTTGATGTGATAAGGGTGTGTGGAGAGAGGAGCGAGGGTCCATCTACCACAGCATCCTTGCCTAAGGGTATGCCCACATTAGAAAGTATGGAAACCCTAGGTTTACACAAATAGAAAATAGTAGGGTAAAAGTAATAGAGTATAAAAATAAAAAATACTTTATTGAGAGACGTATATAAAAAGTGTAAATATATATATTACATATATTACAAGGGGTCCAGGGTAGGGGGATGTCCCATGGTTTATGGGGCTATGGTACCAAAATAGGAGGCAGCAAGGCAGATACAGTAGAAGATTACGTATATGGCAAAGTAATAAGCCTGAATAACACGTCCTAGTGGAGTGCCTTAAATATAACGTATTTCACGAATAGCTTTGGTTAAACGTAGTGTCTGCACGAAATGTAATCAAACTGCTATTGTGGGAATAACATCCAATAGACGGGTTGTGGTTCCCTGGAGTTTGTGGCAAGCTCCTAACGTCCGTTAGGATAGATAGTAGATAGACCGGGCGGGAGGTGCTGACTATACTAGTGAGATAAATCTAGGATCAAAAGTATAAATTATGAATGAAGAGAAATAGAAAAATTTCAGAAGGAATCTTCTAATATATAACGATACCCAGATATCTCAATTAATCTAGATAATAGTCAGCCCCACGGTTCAAAAGTAATAACAAGTGCTTGCAGAGGCAGACAGGGTAGCAATATTGGAAGTGTGTTGCTAAATAGTAGCAGAAATGTTATCAAATCTAATAACTGGTTCTATGTATCCTGCAATTGTTACTTCAAAAGGAAAAGATGCGATATTGCACTAAAACTGAGCTGATTAAGGGTGAAACATAGCTCCAAAAATCAACCCCTGCCTCTTAAGTAAAGGGGAGAAAATCTCCTAAGCAATCCCAAGTAGTAGGCACATCACCCGCACATACCCGACCCCTTGTGGTATAGCTATGTAGTATAGGGAGATAAAGGAAAAAAAGGGGTAAAGAAAAAACGAAATGAAACGAAAAAGCCCAGATCTAATAGTTAGAATATAAATATCAAAGTGAACAAGATCTGTCTAAATAGGCTGGGCTGATTGTTCGAAGTACACAAAAAAGAGAGAAAAAGAAAAGAGGTCCGCCTGGCTTCTAAATCAAACGTGTAGATTGATGTAAAGAGTAACTAAATAGGCTGGACTCTTAACTGAATTCTGAGAGGGAGAAGTCTGCCTAGGTCTCCGTTAAACATTCGGTAGAAAGTAACTGGCTGGGTAAAAAACTACTGACTACCTCTCTAGAAGGAAGGAGAAGTCTGCCTAGAGCTCAGTCAAACGTGGACTAAAGTAGAGACTAACTGGCTAGGTAAAACTTCTAACTATATTCATCCA